TGTGCTTCAACCATTGCTAATTTCTTAAAACTGACCATCAAGCCGTTTCAAACACTACTTCGACTATTTCTCAACCACTTTATCAAAAACAATGATTATAGAACCTAAAGTCCCTATATATGGCGAGTACCTTCATCTGCAAATCTGCAAGTGACAAATTCAAAATAATTATATAAGTTGAAGTAAGTTTTTTTTACCATTGCAATGCGCAGTCTCTCTATACGGACCTAAAACTGACTATTTAGCCGTTTCAAACACGACTTCGACCATTTCTCAACCACTTTATTCAAAAAAATGAAAATAGAACTTTACGTGCCTACCGTTAGATGGCGAATACCTTTAAATCTGTATATCTGCAAGTGGCAAATTCAAAATAAATGTATAAGCCGAAGCAAGGTTTTGAAAAAAGTTACTCTTCTAAAAATTCTATTCTTTTTCGATGGTCATAAAACAGCGTCAAAATATTCAACACTTCCGTTAAACCAGTAAAATAGCTCATAGGACGTATTGGAAGACGCGCCCGAAATACACACTTCACGAATCTACTTGCAGTATAGCTTTATTATAATAAAGTCTAGCTAAACTGATTATACGATTAAGCCTTTGTCGCAAAAGAGATACATGTCTCGTTTCTCGAGTTATATATACATCGTACAACGTATCCGAGAAAACGGCTTCGCTCGGAAGTAAAAACTTGAGAAAATATAATGAGGGCACAGAACTGAGCTCGGTACACGAAACGACGACGAGACGACGAAAGAGAGAAAAAAAATGTGAAAAGCCAGTGACAGTACACGCGATAACTACGCGCGATGAAAGAGTAAGAAATTGAACTTGATCCGAGTAGTAGAGAAAAGTACGAGAGAAAAAAAAAGTTCAAAACGCGCCGCGCGACACACGGCCAAGTCGTAAATTCCCACGCGCGCGCGCACGCGCCAGCAGCCGTCGTCGTCGTCGTCTTATTTGACTCCGGCGCGAAACGCGAGACTTTGAAATAAAAAAAGAACATTTTCAAGATCAAAGGAACTTGCTCTCTCGCGCGCGCGCGTCACACTTGTCTCGCTTTCTCTCTCGGCGGAATATTATATCTTTATTATCGCCAAAGTTGCGCAACCGCAGGATAGTTAAGTATCCAGCATGAATTTCGAGAAACGCGTCCGAATTTCATCGAGGAAATTTTGGGAACCATATATTTTACTTTCTTTTCCTCCATGTAGAGAAGTTAAAAGAGTAAAAACTTCTGGACGATTTATCCCGGACTAAATTTTACGCGTAGTATAAGACACTGTGAATGCAGAGAGAGAGAGAGAGAGAGAGAGCAGTGCGTCGTTGTAATAAAATGCATGCGCCCATCCCCTGCAGCATGTTTCTCCATCGTAAACAATCATTAGCATAGGACGCGCATATACACACACACATATCTCTTGACATAGTGGAAAAACGACTGCAGCAGCAGGAAGCCGAGGCGAAAATGGTAATGAAACCGGGTGCAAGAGTGAAATGAAATTGTCGAAGAGTGGCTGAATTAATTACCGAAATACTGCGCTTCAGGCAGAGAGAGAATGAGAGAGAGTCGAGTTCGAGCTTGCGCGAGAATGTCGACTTTTTGCATATTCCACCACGTTTATACACATCGAACCTCTCGTCGTGGTGGCAGGCAGTGATCGCTCAGCTGCGTCGAAACGCAGAGCTTTGTTTATCGCCACCTCCTCCCCGGCCCTACGTTGCGTATGGTCGTTTCGTCGCACGCGCGCCAGCTCGCAGAAATTCTGGTTTATTACCGAAGTGTGCATCCCCGGGAAATGTTTCCCCTCCCCCTGCGCGAAAAAAAGATTGCGATGCACGGCAGGTGATCGAATTCGGACATATATATTATGCGTTTATGTCTGGATGCAATTATAATCAAGTCCCGACTCGTATAGCACTAATATATATGGGGCAAATTTCCTGAAGTGTCCTAGCGCTCTGCCGCACGGCATTTTTTGGCCGAATCACTCAATTTCTAACTCGCTGTAAAAGTATCAAAACGCCCCTCAAAAAAATAACTAACTAATGATTTTGATAGGAAATTTTCTCAGCTTTCTGATGGTGAGGTCCGATTTTCGGGAATTTTCCATTTTCCCCTCGGAAAATGCAAGTAAATATTCAAACTCGAATATCTCGAAAAACGCCATTTTTTTTGCGTTTTTTATTGTTTCAATCGAAAGATGAGGTCTTTTTACATCGGCATGGTCGTTTTCAGAGTGTATTTTTGATAAAAACGAAGGAAAATACGGGAGGTTTTAGTTAGCGCTCGGCCGCTCGACGCGATTTCCAGCCTTGCGCGGCTCGCTGTAACTTGTAACTCGCTCTTATGACATTGTGATTTGGCTGGAAAAATTATTAAACATATGGTTTCGATAGGAAATTTTCTCAGCTTTCTTATGGTGTTTTTGGATTTTCCGATAATTTACATTTCCACCAAAAAAAATGAACTTGAAGATCTATTTTCTACTTTTTCTAATGAAAATGTAAATTATCGGAAAATTCGACTGCACCATGAGAAAGCTGACAAAATTTCCTATCGAAAGTATATGTTTAATAATTTTTCCAGCCAAATCACAATGTCATAAGAGCGAGTTACAAGTTACAGCGAGCCGCGCAAGGCTCGAAATCGCGCTGAGCGGCCGAGCGCTAATTAAAGCCTCCCGTATTTTCCTTAGTTTTCATCAAAAATACACTCTGAAAACTACCATATCCGATGTAAAAAGACCTCATCTTTCGATTAAAACAATAAAAAATGCAAAAAAAGTGGCGTTTTTCGAGATATTCGAGTTTGAATGTTTACTTGCATTTTCCGAGGGGAAAATGGAAAATTCTGGAAAATCGGACCTCACCATCAGAAAGCTGAGGAAATTTCCTATCAAAATCATTAGTTAGTTATTTTTTTGAGGGGCGTTTTGATACTTTTACAGCGAGTTAGAAATTGAGAGATTCGGCCAAAAAATGCCGTGCGGCAGAGCGCTAGGACACTTCAGGAAATTTGCCCCATATATAAATTTTCCGCTAACGCGCGTTAATAAACGATATATATGGCATGCGTCGTATACACTATCGTATAATATTATTAACGTATATCTGCAACGTCGAGTGATATGGGTACAGACGCATACAGATCCACATTTATACATATATACCCCAGCGACGAATGATTGAGATACATCGAGGAGTAAAGTACAGCAGCAGCACACGCCTACACGCCGGAGCTGGGCGCAAGTATTATTATACTCGAGCTGCTGCTGCTGCTGCTACAGCGGAGTGGCCCTGTCCTGCCCTGCTGCAGCCGTTGTGTGTACTTAGCGACGAATAAACACAGCAGCACAGCAGTCGAAGGATGATGGATCCCGACTGTACTGTACCGTATACGCGTTTTACGCTTATAAGGTAGCAGTATAGCGCGAGGGCGATAAGCACCGCTGCTGTATCCGCGAGAGCCGGGGCTAAGGTTAAGCCCGGGCCGCGAATAAGCTACTACTGGCTAGTGTGGCTGGGGTATCTATATATACGTGGGCGAGAGAAAGAGAGAATCGATTCGCGATCGATACAGCAGCCACTGCCACTGCGTTATATAATACATCGATATTATGTATATATATCTGCGAGCGCGAAGTCGCGGCGGCGGCGGTGGAGATTAATTTCCGGGTGGGCTCTTCTCGCTCGTATATAGCCTAAGGTATTTAATTTCGTTATGTATCCTACGCGTGTGGTATAGTAGTATGGTATAGATGTATATATACTTTCTAACAAACGAATGGGTATCTTTAAATTCATCCGGCTTTCGCAAGTATGTACATCTATACATCTCCATGTACCGTTGCTGTTTATATATGGGCTATATCGCGTCAACTGTCCTCGCCTCTTGGCTCAGAGTTGGAATTTGATTTTTCATATTTTATTCTGCTTCCCAAGGGTGAATATGAGAAAATTGTTGAAACATGATTTTTTATGTAAAATTTGATGAGAAATTTGTTATGAAAAATCATATTCACAACCTCCAAATACCTTAATTTCTAAAATTCAGCCTCAGTGGTAAAAATAAACATGTTCGTATCCAGCAATATGGCCAATATTCTAATCTGTTCATCAATACATCAAAATACCACTTCTGATAAATTTTGGTCATCGGCAGACAAACTGACTTCGTTATTGAGCATGATAAAAGTCAAGAATCAAGGAAAATTATAGAAACCCCATGTTTTATTGACACATATGATGCTCAATAATGAAGTCTGTTTGTCTGCCGATGACCAAAATTGAAGGGAATGGAGCTTTGGTAGTGTCGATGAACATATTACAATATTGGCCGTATCGCTGGATACGAACATGTTTATTTTTGGCTTTGAGACTGATTGTTAATAATTTAGGGATTTGGTGGTTATGAATATGATTTTGGATGGCAAATTCCTCATCAAATTTTACATAAAAAATCATGTTTCAATAATTTTTTCATACTCAACCTTGGAAAGCAGAATAAAATATGAAAAATCAATTTCCAACTGTGATCCAAGAAGGGAAAGACAGTTCACGTGATATAGCCCATATACGTGTAACAAAGAAGAAGATATAGGTTTGGGTGCGCGCCTCGTCGCAGTACAATGACGAGAGAGAGAGTCGCCCGGTAGAGCGTACGTAAGAAGCTTATACGTATACGCGAAGAGAGCGAGAATTTCAGTTTATATCGACCGTCGCGTAGTCGTCGTGGGCCTAGATATATATAACATGCAGCAGCAGCCAAGCCAAGCCAACTTGTCGACTTGATCAAAGTGACTGTCGTCGCTATGTAAGGCTCTTTTCTCTCCTCTATAGTCGAGCGAGACATCGGCATCTCTTTCTATCTCTTTTGTAAAGAGAAGAACGCCGATCTAATGGCACTACGATATATTATTCAAGAACAGATATCATACAAAAAGCGGTTTATACATTATATATATATATCATGAGATTTGTTCATCGCAACTTACCGTCGTCTTCTCAAGGCACCTCAGCAGATGATGATGCTGCAGCTCGAAAATGTCTTCCTGCTTGAAGCTGTCGTCGAGCTCGAGGCCGGACTCCTGGGCCGCCAGCCGGGCCTCGGCCGCCTTCTTCTTGCTGACGAAGGCCGCGCCGCTCGACGCCTTGGCGATACGGATGCGGGCCAGTCGGGCTTTCTGCACGCAGAAAATAAATCATTAATTATTATATTTGTTAACCCTCGAAGCAATTATCGCGCATATGTACTTGATATTTATTACGCTATGATTATTAGATATGATATAATGCAGAGCGAGAGCTCTCTGCTGAGAGCCCCGCGTGTGGCTATATATAGGCCTTATGATATATCCATGAATACATTGGCCTAGGCTGGAGCAGCAGCAGAAGCTCGGCATGCATGGCCCTCGCCGCGCACGCTCTAATCCTTGAATTTCCATTTCAATTTGAATATGTATATAATGTTCCTTTGCCCTCCTCCTCTTTCCCAGGCAGCAGCTTTCTCTCTCTCTCTCTCTCACGGCCTAGCTTACGGCTCTCGAAGCTACTACTACCCAGCGAACGCAAATACTCGCGTTTAATATAATGATGATTTTCATATAATACCCACACGCTGCAAGAGTCGCACGACGCGCGTGCAGATGTGCAGAAACTTAATTGTTTTCCCTGATTCCGCGCGCGTCGTAATAAACACGAATTAAAGCTCGCTTATGCGCGAGGAAGGTTGCGAAATTAAATAATGAATCGATTCCGAGGAACAGTTAGGAAAAGTCGTCGTCGTCGTCGTACGTATGAATAATAATACGTGCGCGCAGCGAGCATAGGTTTTAACCGGAGCCTAACCAAGCGCCGTACAACGGCCAAGATGGAGCTGGAGTTTGAATTGTAAAGACCAAGTCGCGCTCGCTCGATTCCCGCGAAACGTTATATCGATTGTCATACTTCTAGCCAGAGCCCACCCAACTTGGCGCGATTTCTTCGAGTGTGTTGACTTTTGAATATATTTCAGGAGGATTCACAGCTGGCATGTGTACCCAAGAGAAGTGACGTTACGATTAAATAACTTTTCTCTTAGGTCAATCTTGTATTCGTAGCCAGAACGGTGTATAAATTGTGCGCACGTTGCAATATCTTCGTTTTACCAGAGTGGGTCGTTATATAAATATAGGGGGAAAAAAGGGAAGAATCGGCAATAATACAAACTAAAAATTATTATTCATGAAAATTGACCCTATCGTTGAATTACTCGCAATTCCTCTCACCCATCCCCTGCTGTAGCCAAATAATAACCATCGATTTGTAAGTATGTAAGTATCAATAAAAGCTCCTCTGTTGCCTAAAGAGAAGAATGAGAAAAAAAGAGAGAGAGGAGGGAATAAAAAACGATAACAGACACTCCGACAGAGAGAGAAAAATTACCCGTTTATGTCCGCGAACATTGTACATCGGGGATAGAGAGAGAGAGAGAGAGAGAGAGAGAGAGAGAGAGAGAAGAGCTTAAAATTCAGCCCACGTAATATGGAAAAATTTTGCCGAATGAATGCAACGACTTGGTCGTCGTCGTCGTTTTTACTACTATTCTAGAGCAAAAACGCGTTAGATATATTTTCCTATCTCTCTCTCTCTCCCTTTTTTTACCCTCGCGTCGCAATTGTGTGTCTATATATGGTACGAAGGCAGAGAGAAAAAATTTTGCGCAACGAGCTCGTCTCGACTATCAGAGCGAAAAGAACAATTAAATCTTTTTTTCTGCGAAAAGTATCACCCGAGCTTGATTTCCTGTAATATACCAGCTCGACGTATCAAAAAATTTACGAGTTCGCGGCCTGTGCATTATGTGGCCGACGCCGAGATTGCTCTTTTTCGAGGCAGCGGTAAGCCCGATCGCGGCCCATTAAATTATTCAATGTCAAAACGTGGAATAACGCGTCGTGCACGGGCATAATCAAACGGCGCGTATCGAAAATTTTAATATTATCGCGCGCGCGCGTGCTCTGCCACGCGCCGCCGGTCACGGCTGACGTAAGATTGATCTCGATTACTTATGGACTGATGCGTAGTTGGTCCAGCTGCACACACACACGTGGCGAGTTCGCGAAAGTGAAAACAGCGAAACTACTGCGCAATACCAAAACGCGAAAATTATTTATACGGTGATTACTCGGGCGAAATCATTTCTCAAATTGGAAATTTTGCGCGGAAGCTTACGATAAGCTCATTACAATATGTGTGCGCGGTTTTGATAAGCAGCTCGCGCGGAGATTGAAGTGCGTACCCGCGCCGAAATCATTTCAATAATTCAGAAAACTACGTAGTTTCGGCTTATTTTTCGCGGACGGTGTGTTACAACGTGTACGATTTTCCCGGGCCACGCACGTGCCGGGTCTCGGCTGCTAAAATATTATACGCACACACACACACACACACACACACACCGATTGCGTCATTGACGTACAAACTAGCATAAATTGGATTTATTATTACATTAAAATCCAATCAATCGCGCAATAGTTACACGGCTACGTGCGTTAATTAACCATCATCATCGGATGCTGCTGCTGCTGAACAAGCTTCGATTTTCAATTTCTGCTTATGTACCGAAAAATAGCACCGGCAGCAACAACGCGAAGGTCAATATCAAGAGCAGCAGCAGCGTGTGTATATAATACCATAGAAAATGAAAGTTATTTCGTGCCGATGTAGGCAGCGAAGGTTAATTTGAATGCTGCCAGCTACTATACGTTCCGTACTGCGTTTACAAGGAGCACCGACAATCTAGGTGCGTGCGTAGTCGTTATATATAGTATTGGAGGCCTCGGTCACGTGCCTGCCTTGTCCGAGAGAGAGAGAGAGAGAGAACAGAGAATGCAATTATATTTGCAGGAGATTAACAGAGCGAAATTAATTTACCAATTTACCAAACATTACTGCTGCGAAGCTGTAATATAACTTTGAAGAATACGCATTTGAAGATCATTGTTCATTCACGAGCTTGCGGACCAGCGAGCTTTTTTTCTTTCGTGCGAATGAATTTTACAACGACTGCTGCGGGTCGAGGCTTAATTTAGCGCCACGCATATATCAATGACAATAATAAAGTGACATTCGAAGCTCCGCATATACAGCTACGATGACGATGCATCATCGGGCTTGCAGCGAGGCTTCGATTGAGAATCGCGCGCGCATCCTAATTAATCCAAATTTAATAATTAACCCATTTTGGATCATCGACGCCATTGTGCGTATATGCCGTATGCATGTGCCGGTGCACGCATAATGAGAGCTCTGCAGCTGCTAATTGTGCACATTCGATTTCACACGAATGATCGAAAGGTCTATAAGTACGAATTGTCATTTTGATATTTTTAATATCGTGATTTTTAATTCGTCGCTCGAGGCATTTGTAATTACGCGTCGTCCGTGCGGAATCGAGGTCTTCTCTGCGCGCTGGATACCGCTAAAACCACAAAGGACACGAGGAGAGGATGATCTCACGGTACGGATCCCTGCGAATGATTAATGAACAATTTAACGCGGGACTGGACATTCGAGCGAAGCGCGAATCGTAATATGGCGCGTGTGCGTATTATTATATTGCGATCGCACACACACGCAAACGCATATATATATATATACAGGAAATGATGAACGGGCTAAAATAGAGAGCTGTTCAAGGCGACTGCGAGTCTCGCGGCTGGGTGCGTGTAACGCGATTGAGTAGTAGTCGAGGCAGCAGCGGCAGCAGCAAGGTGAAGGTGATTATTAACACATCGTCGCGGCAATTTTATTAGCCTAGTAGGCGTTGCACACGAAGATCGACGGCGACGACGACGACGCGCGACGCACATATGCTCCCGTTCGTAATGGTACATTTGCACACGAGAGAGAGAAAGAGAGGGTAAGAGAGGATCGAAAAAGAGAGAGGAGCCCCGCGCCCCGCGATACCAAAGTGAATAAGTAATGTTCAATTTCAGCGCGGCGGGCTAAGGTATCGCGAAGGAGAAGGAGGAGGATGAACAATTCCATACCAGAAAACTTTTTCTGTAAATTTTAACGCGGCAGCGTGAAAATATTATACGCGCTACTCTCGCGCTCAGAGCAAAGAGGGCGTCGTGTATTTAATATTGCATATCTCGACGAGTACGAAACTACGTGCGATAGCTCACGGTTGAAATTTTTCGAAAGCATGTATAATTCATATTAATGAGAGAATGATACCTTTTTCTATGATTAATTTTTGCGTAGAAATGACGTTAATAGGCTACTTGGTTTTCGTGGTGCTATGTGGAGAGGAACATTTTTTTAAAATGAAATTCTCTTGGTTTGTACAGGAATTTTAGATTGAATACCAAAAATGTTAGCGATAAAAAAGTTTACTTGTCGTTGCTTCGTCGTTACAAATCGTTTTCAAAGCAAATCCTAAAAGAGCAATCTACGATACAAAAAATATTTGTAAATTTCAAGTACTTTTGAGGGACGTTCGTACCGGAATATTCAAGCGGGCATGACCTTTTATGTTACGTTTACTTAAAAATAACAAAAGTGAAAAGTGAAGTGCCAATATGAAAACAAATAGAGTGGTACTACTAGCATTAAAATTAATGTAAATATTCTGCTTATTTACTTGACCAATGGGTGAATTTTTAAATGAAAATTTTAGTACTGCTGTTATTTTGTGAGATTTGATTTCGATGCATTAAAAGAAACGTTTGAAAAGTATGGAGAATTAAGATAAGCATGTTGAAAATTTCCCGTGTTTCTCGTCTTTTTATCAGATATATTCACAATAGTTCACAGGTCACCGCTAGATGGTGTATGACCGAATTCTATTTCAACCGAAAGAGAAACAACAAATTTTGAGATTAAGTAAAGATTAAGAAATTGGATACATATTCCTTCTCTTCCAGGTTAATTAAAATGTCATGCATAATAATTTTTTTAAATACCAAATTGATCGTTATATCGCTCTTAAAAGAATTCGTTTGAGTCGATGAAAACACATCCAGTGTTGACCAATGTTAAAAAAGAAGGAAAAAAAGGAGATACCCTTTGACGGGCGCGTTAAAATTTTCATTCGAAACTTTTGAATACATAAAAGGGAAGAGTTTTACGCGCGTACCGACCAAAAATTTCGCCATAAAAAACTGTATAATACGAGATTAAGCGCGAGTACGCTCTT